GATCTGTTAAGAACATCCCCATCACATGATGCCTAGCAAGGGGACCAGAAAAAAGAGCTCAGGCAGGTGTTGTAGTGCCCCAGATACTTGAGAAGCTTGGGTGGGGACATTACATAAGCACAAGAGTTCGAGGCCAACTCTGGAAATATATCAAGACCCTGTCTCAAAAACAAAATACAGCTGGAGAGTTGGCTCAAAGGTTAAGAGTATTTGTCTTCTCTTGCAGAAGACCTGCGTTTAATTCCCAATACTCACAATGGCAGCTTATTACTTTCTGTAACTCCAATCCAATGCCCTCTTCTGACCAGGAACACACGTGGCACACATGCAGGCTAAACACTCATATGTATAAAACAAAATCAATCAATCAATCAATCAATAAATAAACAAAATAAAATAAATAAATCTCTTAAAAAATTAGCTCGGCATGGTAGTACACACACCTATAACTTCAGCACTCAAAAGGCTACAGTAGGAGAATCAAGAATTACAAGCTAACTTGGGGTACATAGTGAGACCATCTAAAAATAATAATAAAGGAGCCATTCAAAATCAGATGGCAAGCAAGAGGCCCTAGGTTTAATTCCTACTACTGCTTCTGCTCACCCCTCTAAAAAAAGTAAGGAAGGAAGGGAGAGAGGGATAAAGCAAAGATGAAAGGAAGGAGGGAGGAAAGGAGAGACAGAAGAATGATTTGATTCCTAGATTCCACAGTGAAAGGAGATAAAGAAGAGAGCTACTTCTGCCTCTCCCCTCCACCCTTCTCTTTGTTGTCCCTGCTGTTTTGCAGCCCTGGCTATCTTGGAGGTTTCTCTGTGGACCAGGCTAGCCCTGCCTCTGCCTCCTGAGGACCAGGCTAGCCCCGCCTCTGCCTCCTGAGTGCTGGGATTAAAGTTATGTGCCACCACCGTCCACCTCTTCTTTCTTTCTAATCATATTTTTTAATTAAAAAATAAAGAGTGGCTAGAATTATCATAAACACACACTTATTTCTTTTGGAGGCCTTAGCAACTACTAGAACAAAGCCCTTTTTTTGGGCTTTTTATAAGAGCCATCTGCCCTTTATCTAAAGGGACAGTAAAAATTAAAATAGGTGTTGTGCTATCCTTATATAACATCTACATTTAAGTAGTCTGAGCTCTAACACAGGCAGGCAGTAGTACCCACAGGCAGGCACAGCTTTATCCTGCTTGTGAACATGTTATGCAGACAGCTGGCTGGGGTCTTCAGAAGAAACCTCCTGACTGCAGGCTTCTGGATGTCCTGCTTGTACATTTCAATAAATAATTCAATCCTTACAACAGACAGAAATGAATGACAGGAGAAGTTGCTTGTTTAGGACTGGTCACCAATCCAGACTACATAAGAATAGAAAACTTTAACCTTATCAACTTCCAGGGTGTCTTCCTGGAAGATATATCTGAAAGGTCTTATTCCACAACAAGCACATGAAAAGACCCAAATACGACTGTATATCACTGTTATAGAATTTCAGATCTGAAGATAATAAATATACTTATTCCTGTTCTCTAATCTGAGACATCTCTGATATGGTAATATCCTCAGTCAGAGAATATCAGATAAGACGATTTATTAACCCTCTTGTTTAGTCATTATAAGGAGTAAATAAGAATTTAAAATCTATTATTTATTTATAAAAGATATGTCAATAATCTACATCTGTATGCGAAGTACAGATACTTCAGCAATTGCCACATATATACAGATAAAAGTGGACACTTTGGCATACACAGTATAAATACATTTTGTTAACAACTAACTATACATGTGAAAAATACATGATAGCAGCTAATATTTTTATTCAGTTGATGAGAGAGAAACAAAACAGACATGATCTGATTTTCTGGGGCCTTTTTATTTCCACAAGAAAACTGCTCAAGAACAGTACAAGGAATCTCTGACTTAGAAAACAGGAGAGTGGAGAGGTTGAGGTGAAGCCTCATAGACAGGATTGTGATGTGCTGAGACGATCGGAAACCCAGTAGAACAGTGTTTCTTAATGGTGTCCTGTCAGGCAGATTCCAGATCGCATAAACCTTACCTGCTTCTCTATACTAAAAGAATTATAAGTTATGACTATAACCACCACCACCCAATACACACACATCTTTTCTGAGGGCTGGAGAGATGGCTCAGCAGTTAAGAGCACTCATTGCTCTTCTAGGGAACCCAGGTTCAGTCCTAAGCACCCATATGGCAGCTCACAATTGTCTGTAATTCCAGTACCAGGAGACCTGACACCTTTATCTAGTCTCTGAGTGCACAAGGCACCACAATGGGTACACAGACATACAAGCAAAACTCTCATACACATAAGTTAACCACCCTGTGCCTGGCAGTGGTGGTATATGCCTTTAATCCCAGCACTCAAGAGGCACAGACAAGTAGCTAGATCTCCGAGTTTGAGGACAGCAGGGTCTATAGAAGAAGTTCCAGAACAGCAGGACTACACAGAGAAACCCTATCTTATAAAGCCAAAAACAAACAAACAACATCCTTTCTAGTCATCAAAGCTAAGGAAAACGATTATGGAAGATAGATCAGACCATGTTGCTACATTCCCTAAGGAGAGGGGAGAAAGCTCCCCTTTCTCTCACTTCTCTTCTGAGCACTAGAGATTAAAAGGAACAACCACAACCAGTACTCAGCTTATAGGACCATAAGGAGGACAGAGGAGATAGAAAAAGAAGAAACAGATGGTAAGCTAATATCAACTTCTTTCTCTAGAAGACTTGGACTACTCATGTTAAGGTAACTGATTTATAGCTGCTATCAAAAGCAAGATTATGGTTTAAACCATCTTCCTCCAAAAGGCAAACATCTGGGGAGGGACTTATAGGTGAAGTATTAGAAAAATGAGCCAATGGCTAATAAAGACACCAAGGAAAACACACTGGTAGGCTAATGAAGGAAAAGTAACAAAGACAATGTAAAACGAGGTCATGCTGAAGCCCAGGGAGATGATGAGAGCACAGGTGGGCTGGGGGAGCAAACACCGAAGGCAGTCTGACAGAGGAAAATCGAGGGGGAAGGAAGGGGAGAGCGAGGAGGTGGCAGCAGAAGAAAGGGAAGGTAAAATGAGAACAGAACATTTTAAACTAACCCAGAACTCCATTGTGAAGGACAAGTCACGAGGCAGAGTACAGCTGAAAGGCATGATCCCCACATCACACCACTGGTAAGAGATAATTTCAACTTCTAAGCAAGCATGGAAAGAGGCTAGGCAAGCCAGAGTCCTGACTCCCAAAGCACTAAAGAAGAACTGAACTAAAGTCACCCAGGTTTTTCAGCAGTACTGCAATGCCAGCAACCTCAGTATATGTGTTTCTCTCTTCTCTATACCTTCTCGACTCCCCACCGTGTGTGTGTGTGTGTGTGTGTGTGTGTGTGTGCGCGCGCGCGCACGCACACATGCGAGTGCATGTATGCTTGTGCTTGTTTGTATGTTTGCAGTGCTGGGAAAACCAACACAGGACCTCACATGCTAAGCTGGTGAATTACATGCCAAGCCCATCGTAAACTGCTTCCCTGAATAAACCCTAGAGCTAGAAAAATTATTACATCTCCAGTAAACAATATGTCATTATAGGCATCTGTCTGGCTCCTTTCAGTACTGATGCAACCATCAGCAGCCCAGGAGGACAGACAGAGAAAAGAGCAGACTGAGGATCAGAGAGGTGCTGGGCTCTTCTTCAGTGATTATTCACAGGAGCACCACACTCCTGTTCCATCTGCCACAGACCATGCTAACCCTGTATTCTTTGAACATTTAACTCTTCAGACCATTATATGTTCTTCCTTTTGCATCCCTGGATTCAAATGTTCATGCATTCACCATAAGCATCAGAAAGGCAAGCCAGCACAAAGGTTGTTCCACTTCATCTTCATCCTTTCTGGCAAAGAGATCAAACATACCCTATAGCTCTGTTACAGGATAGCTTGTTGGAAACTATCCATGAAGTCAACAAGAGGGAGAGGGTCGGGGGATAAGAAAGAACTCTTAAGATCCCAGATCTATTAAGGCATGGGAAGAAGGGCAGAGCAGACTGCCATACTCCAGTAATGCTATCAAAAAAAGAAGAGGGAAATGCTTCTTTTTCTTTCGCATGTTAAAGAATGGCAAAATGCAAAAATCAAAACAAAAGCCAAATGCCTAATTTAATACAAGCCAAGAAAACTCAGTTTCAGGCTGGGAGCACAACAAACGCTAAGAAGGTCAGGAAGAGAATGTCTGAGAGGCAAAACTCAGCAGTAGGGTTGTAAAGCATGGAGCTAGAGCTTGAGGCTGATCCCGCTCTTTGGCCTCATCTCTACTCTACTCAACAACAACAGTAACAACAAAAGGAAAGAAAGAAAAAGGAGAAGAGGAGGAAGAAGAGGCAGTGGCCTCATCTGCAGCTGTGGTACAGTGGCAGCAGCACCGAGGAGTCATCCCTCAGCCCACTACATTAATCTGACAGGCGGGGCCAGGGACAGGAAGACTAAGTTGAGGCAAGAGAGTTAGACCTCAAGGAATCAGTTTATTCAGATTACTGAGATAAAAGAGTCACTTTAAGGGAATCTACTCTCTAAAACGAAACCCAAATCATCACATCTACTCTGGTTAAAAGGATAAGCACCAAGCCTCCTGCCTCCTCTGTCCTGTGAAGACAGCCCAAGAAAAGCATTTCCACTATACATGCCACAAGGAGATACAACTATGTCTAGGAGAGCAGCAGCCATCCTCTTCCTTGGGTCTGGCCTGAGACCCAAAGGGCTGTCTCTTCCCAACGGCTCTGACAAATCAACATATAAGTTCCAGAATTGAGAGTGTTCTGGGTACTTGAGCTCTCTGCTCCTCATCCCAGCTTGCTACTCATAAATAATAACTTCAGGATTGGAGGCAAGAATGCTTACCACTGCTACAAAAGCAGTGGCCAACTTGGAAGCACTCTCAGTCTGGGAGAAAGAAGGTGGAAGCAAACTGAGAATATACTTACTCAAAGTCCTCAAATTCCAAGTCGGTTCCCTCTACTGATGGACCCTGGTTGTCTGAGGAAGAAGAGGAGGTGGAAGAACGAAGTCGATTCTGTTGATAGCGCATGGAGCGCTGGCGAATACTGTCTCTCCGTGAGAGATACTGGATCATCCTCTGGGCGTAGTATGCAGCAGGAGATAATCTGAGAGAGACAGAGATGGACAAACACAAACTAGCACTAATGTGGGGAATACTGTGAGAAGACAGCAAAGACAGCTTTCCCATGGCATCTCCCTGTTGAGACAAACTCCGGATACTCGAAAAATACAGGCCATTTAACTCACCCGGAGGTTTGTGCTGAGGACTATGTGTACCAAACAACCCTTGAGCTTTTGATCTGAGAAAGGGTAAATAGGCCGTGTAATCAGAAGAGTGGCCCCTTCCCAAGAAGATTAGCACCGGGCCTTTCTTCTTCCGTAGGCTCTTATGGAGCCTGGCCGTTTCTCAGAGGCTTCTTAAATAGCTCTTCCTTGCTCTCCATCCATACACAAACTTTAAGAAATCAAAGAGACCTTAGGAATCAAGTCTGGTCATTTTACAGATGAGAAAACAGGCCAGAAAATAGTACCACTTAGATGATCAACAAAGATACCCACAAGTATCCTCTTTACCAGGACTTCTTTCTTCAACAAACGCACACAGCTACAGCTTTTACCTAGCTCCTTATAATCATCTCTTTGAAACTTACTTCTCCCTCCCTCACAGATTAATCATAGACATTTGTGCATGGAAAAGTATTCAGGATAGGGCCTGAGAGTCATTATGTACTTGGGAGAACAAATAAACCTAATATAAAAAAGAATTTTCAATTCATAGAATTACAGCAATGGAGGATACATCTTCCAGGCTAGGGTTCCAATGAGCCATCTGTCTAGCCTCCTGCTGCAACCAAAGACCTGTCTTGAAGCTTTCTGACATTTTCTAATATATCACACAACTCTACAGAGTCCTTCCCCTTCTTAGTTTTCCTCCGTCTTTACAACACTGTTCCATAATAAGGCCATAAACTGAGAACATGTGAGAACAACAGAAAAATGTCATATATGATAATGTCAAGTGATCACTAAGCCAACTGAAAGACTTAAAGTTTGAAGAATACACAATGATCCAAGTTCACTAGGAAATTATATCACACAGAAATGCAGAAGAATACAAATGTATACATGAGAAAGTTCATTTGCAACACCATCATCACTAGGAAAAGCCTGGGAAACAACCCAGAAGCCCAGCAACAAATTTAGTAAATTATTTCCACATAGAGAAACACTACGAGGCCATTAAAAAGAAAAAATTGGCTGGGCACAGGACACGTGCCTATAATCTAAGCACTAGAGGACTAGAGGCAGGTAGATCAGAAGTTCAAGGTCAGTTTCAACTACATGAGTTTGAAGCTAGTGTGAGAGATGCAAGAGCCTGCCTTAAAATTTTAAGTGTGTGGGGGGGGTGTATCCCCATCTATTCATAAGAAAACTCTTCTAAATGAAAATTTTAAAGCAGAGAAAGGGTTACAGAGTGATAGATATATAGTCTATTATGTACATAAAAATATTTCTGTATTTAAGAAAAAAGCTGAATTCATAAACCTGGTGTTACAAACCTGGAGTCACAAACCTGGGGGATTTTATATTTTTATAACGTTTGGATATTAAAAAGGGAAAAGTGTGTTCTGTTTTCCTTTTATTGAGAATATTAAACTGACTGAGAATGACAAGAAAGTATTTATTGCTCGGCATACTGGTATGACTGTAATCACAGCTACTCAAGAGGCTAAAGAACTATGGCTGGGAAACTTGTAAATTTAAGGCTAATTGGGCAATTTATATTAGTAAAACAGTCACCACCACCCCAAAATTGCAAACATCTTGCAGTATGACTTCTAGCACCTTTGAAATTTTATTCTCAGCAATTCTACCTTCCTAGGCTAAAAGAGGTCTTGTAGTCAACTGCAATGGGTACCAAGGCTGTCATCAAAGTTTTCTTTTGGACCAGTCATCAATATTCCCAAGGAGCTGGTTGGTAATCATGCGAACTCAGAAGTTTCTGGGTTAAAAATAATATGCTACACTGAGCATGCCAAATCCAAATTACCTTTGTACAGTAGGTGGCACAGAACATACAGAAGCAGAAGCTTAGCCCAAAGTTAAAACAAACAACACATCAACTCTTTCCCAAAGCCTCAGTTCATGGTATTTTCATTATTCCTTTGGGCACCTGTTGCCAATCATTCAATCACTGAATACCAAAATATGGACAGAGGCAGTGCTTTTCTGTTGTCCTTATTGTTACCCAATATACCAAAAAATTCCAGCAGAAATCAAACATGGATTAAATTCAAAGAAATCAGACCAGAGAAGAAAATACAAAGCAGGAGAGAAATTTTAAGAAAACTGATCTGGATGAGAACATAAGTGACAGTAAGTGCACCTATTTCTCAGGTTATGGGAAGTCAGAAATAACAGAAAAATGTATTATTGATAATGGTGGTAGAAATAATGTTGTTGCTGTAATAATGAACAAAGACTATTTTGTATAGAGACGTTAGTATTGTATAACCGCTAGTTGTTTATTTTCATTATAGGAATTTCCTAAACCATGAAACTATATTACCAGTAGTAACAAATAAGTAAAGGAGGAGAGATTTCTGGCATCATAGTTTAACCCTCTTATGTATGCAGGGGGAATCTAAGTTTCTGCATGCTTTAGAAAATGTCTCACAAAAGCCTTGACCTATCCATATAATACAGGACACAACTAAGAGGTCAAAGAAATGAAGCAACACCTGATGAGATGCTAACAAATACCCCCCTAATGAGGAGCTGGCGTGCCATCAACCAACCATCAAGTATTCCAGGTCAACACCTTAAGTGTTTAAGAAGCCTTGTTTCTTAACCCTTTCACTAGTGAAGAAATCAGAGCAGGGATAAAGACATGGCATGAAAGAACAACATCCGTAATTTCTGCATTCTGAGGCAGAGGCAGGCAGAGCACAAGTTTGAGACCAGCCTCTACTGACTGAACAGTGAGCTGTGCACCTCTGTCAGGCCAGTGTGTTCATTTGGCCCTGTCTCAAAAATCAATCACTGAAGTTTCACAGTCTAAAATTTCTGAGGATGAGAAGCCTACTGGTGTCTGGAAAAAAAAATGTTTTCTTTTCTTTTCTTTTCTTTTCTTTTCTTTCTCCTTTTCTCTCCTCTCCTCTCCTTTCCCTCTCCTCTCCCTTTCCTCTCCTCCTTCTTCCTCCCCTCTCTCCCCTCCCCTTCCCTTCTTCTCTCCCCTCCTCTCCCCTCTCCTCTCTTCTCTTCTCCTCTTCTCTTTTCTTTTGACACACACAGTCTCTCTATGTAGCCCTGGCTGTCCTGGAATTCACTACATAGACCAGGCTGACCTCAAACTCATAGAGATATACCTGCCTCTGCTTCCCAATTGCTTCAGGCTGATATGGCTGGCCTGAAAAGAAACTGTTTTGTGTCAAGAAGTTGTGTTGAGTGTTTTAAGGTTCTTGAAAATGTGACCCTTTCCCTTTTGTTAAGGGCTTATACTTTTCCAACACAATTAGAGACTAATGTAAATGCCCTTGCTCCAATCACCATCTGCACTGCCTGCCTATTTCTAAAGTCCTCATCTCTACTGCCTGGATCCTTAGATTTGCTACTCCTAGGACATGGAAAAGAAAATAAGAGGGCCATGGAAATTTTTTTCACGACTATCCTGGGGAGAAGGAGCACTATAGCAACAACAAAACCACTTAATATCCCTAGAGTAAGAATAAGTTGGTCTAAAGGTGTTTCCAGGTGGACAGGAAAGCCTTAAAGCTCATTTAGTTTTATCTGACCTATACTGCTGGCTTGCCAAGCCCACCACTGTAAATTATCCTTTTCCTTGCAACATTGTCTGATACTACCTAAATAACAGTCTAGTTATCCCTTTTCAAATCTCTAACAAGTCACCAAATCTAGCCATGACACTGACCTGGGGCTATTCTCTACGGATAAATGTAATACAACAACTCAACACCAAACCAGCCTTGATTTTGTTATCAGTACCATCATCACACTACAAAATTCAGGATGGTCCCTTAAATACTTAAAAAAAAAAATGTTTTTTCTTCCCCCCCAACTTTTAAGAATTTCAGGGCTCTGGAAATACATATTTGGCTGGGTGAATAAGGGAGCTTGCTGTAAAAGCGAAAGGACTTGAGTTCGATTCTCCAGCACTCATGTAAAAGCTGGGCACAGTCTGGGTATCTATGACCCCAGCACTGCAAGGTGAAGACAGATCCAGGTATATCTAGATACAATGGCAAACTTCTAGTTCAGTAAGAAATGCTGTCTCAAAATATTAATAATGATGATGATGATGATGATGATGATGATAACCACAACAACATGAACAACAGAGGAAGACTCCAAAGTCTTCATCTGGCCTCTGCATATGCCCACACCACACACATATGCATAACACACACACACAAACACACACACACGTGCACAGGCATGAACACACACACACACACACACACACACACACACGCATGCATGCACGTCTTCAATAACCTTTCAATGTCTTCTAAAACAGTATAAAGCAAGCACTTCAGTAAAATGATAACTTATTTCATTCAAATACTCTTCCTTCATCTCTCTTTTGGATAGTGTCCAAAAACTAGCTTGATTTTTACTCTTTTGAAGTATTTTCCCTACAAGTAAAGTGTTCAAAACTTTGGCTCTCCTTTTGGCTGATAAGCAACAGCCTCTTGAGCAGCAGGAAAGAACACCTATGCCCTCCACAGGTAACCAAGCCCTCTAGTGCTCCACTGACAGATGGTGAATTCCAAAGGACAAGAGCTCAGAGATGCCATTCACTTACCTGCAACAACTCCCAATCATCTGAAACACCTGCCTCAACACTGAAACTGAAGCGTAAAAGAGCACCAGGACCAGAGAGGCACAGGTGGGGAGTCCCACAACTCGGCAACTCCAAGGGCCGCCCCTCCCCCCTCCTAGTGCCATTTCTCACTTTGGCCTTACCTCGCTGGGTCTGGGTAAATTGGGTGCTCTCTGGATCCTGCTCCATCATAACGGGATAATGAAATGAGGGAAGACTCCAGCAGCCTCCTAGCAGAGATTAAAAAGATGGCAATAATCCCTGTCAATTACCAACTCAGAGGTCAATCATAAGGGAAATGGGGGAGAGGTAATAACATCCCCCTTTGCAGTCAATAGCACCTATTATCTGGGGTCTTACCCTTTCAAAGCTCTAACTATTTAGAAACACTAATAAACGAAGAGCTACAGAGCTCCCTCCCATACTGGCTGTGACCATTGTATTATGCTGAATACTGTTCTTCTGTGAGACACAAGCAATTGCATCAGAATCATGATCTTATCCTTCTTTACAGCACTTCAGCAAATAGGCTAGAAGCAACATGAGAGGAAAAAGAGGCATACACAGAGATCACACATTTATCGTGGCGATCAGCTCCTGTACACCATCACAGTCCACAGATCCATCTACTCCTGCTCTAGCCACACCCTTTTTCTGAGAAAGATAATACTAGAGTCTCTTAATAAGTGGCAAAAACCTTTCCTTTTATCATCCAGCCCCATCATAAATTCAACTAATGATAGTAGTACACATTTTATTAGGCAGGTTTTTTAGGTATCAGGCCTCAGCACACCCATGAGATGTTAAGAATTACTACAGACACAAGAACACAGGGACTAGAGATTTAAGTACATGGGCCCACAATACACAACTATAAGGATTCCCATGAAGGCCTACCTAAACTCCCAAATGCTTCCAATCTCTGGGTTGTCCTATACAGCCTTCTAGAGGCGAGGTAAGAAACAAGTGCCTACTACGTGTAGCCATGGTGAGCAATACTGTCAAACAGGAAGATTAGGATTCTAGCACTCAGCTACAGCCTATTAACACCAGGCTACACAAGCTGGGCTCAGCATTGCTGCCTTGTCTGAGTTTGTAAAGTCAGAAAGCTAGACTTCTGCATGAAATTTCATGGTTACGTTTTAGGAAACTTAAATACAGCAAAGGTTATTTAAGTAAAACACATCCGATAAACACGTGTGCTTCAGGGGCTTCCTGGTCTACCATGTTACTTCCCAGTTCCTGTGTACCTGGCAGCCAGTCAAACTACAGAGAACACATCTCAAAGGAAGTGGTCTCAGAAAAAAAAAAAGTGCATACTGTTCCTCTCCAGAAGCATCTTGCCTGGCTCTTCCAGGAGCAGGTCTCCGGCTCCCTGCCAGATTCTTCCTTAAACAGATCTGCAGGATAAGAACAGCAGCTACCCTTCTTTTCCAATTGAGTTAAGAAAATTCAGTGTTATTAAAACCAGCTGGCTTTAAGTATAATCATGGGCAGTCACTATCCCAGCAACCGGCTCATCTCCAGTCACAGCCAAAGCAGAAACAACTGATACCCGTCACCTTTACTTTACCTTTCCTGCCTGTGACAACCAACCATCAAAATATGTTTTCTACTGAGACAGAGCCCACACAGCCAAACTTCAAACAAGCCTAGCACTCAACAGAAAGAATACAATATACCCAATGGAGAAGAAAAGAAGGTAGCAATGATATACCTTCTCTCTAGTATATCATTGTTTGCAATAGCAGAAACATTATATTTCATTATTCTAAAACAAACTTTTTTCACATTCCAATGTATCACAGATTAATTGGCATGTTTCTTTCTTCCCTAACAACATAACAAAAATACTGGCATGTCTTTCAAATACAAAATGTTTGTGATAGATAGGGAAAGTCTGAAGTAGTAATACATAAAATAGACAAAAAAAAAAAAAAAGCCAGTTTTTGAGAAGACTGTTGTACAGGCCATTTACATTCTCTTTTTAAAACCTTAAAACCTTATTTCTTAACTGACACATAAAAACACAAAATGGTACAGACTAGCAAGTACTATGTGGCGTTATAGTGCATAGAGTCACTGAATCATGTTTAAGTCAGGTGAAACATGCTCATGTCCTCAAATATTTTATCATTTATATTAAAAATGTCAAAAACCTTTTCTGTTTTCTTAAAATATACAGCATATCATTTGTTATTATAGTCACACACACCCCTGCAACAGTACATGTTTTGTTGTTGTCGTTGTTGTTGAAGACAGGGCCTGTAGTCCATGCTAGTCCAGAATGAGAAAATTTCCTGCTTCTGCCCACAAAATACTGGTATTATTGACTTGAGTCACAAAGCCCAGCAAAAATGTTCTGTTCTGAGCTGTAGCTTAAAACCCATTGGCTAACCTATATCATCTATATGGTGTTAATAAAATCATTCTCTGAGACCAAGATAAGAGTTAAAGAATGAAAGCAGGAGCAGCTGCCTGCTTTCAAAACCCTGGAAGATAGGCTGGTGGTAGCGGCAGCGCACACATTTGATCCCAGCACTTGGGAGGCAGAGGCAGGCGGATCTCTACAAGTTCGAGGCCAGACTGGTCTACAGAGTAAGTGCCAGGACAGCCAAGGCTGCCTTGGTTGAGAAACCCTGTCTTGAAAAACAAAACAAAACAAAAAAAACTAAACTAAACTAAACCCTGGAAGGTTGTTCAATCCAATTCTAAAGTGCTCTGCAGGTGGTACTGAGTGTCCCTGAGCTCTGGCTGTTACTCTTTAACACAGAAGGCTTTCAGAGAGAACCTGCTTCAGGGCGTCTGTGCAGAAAATGAGCCTGATAAGTTAGGAAACAAATATTGCCCATCACAAACTATGTCAAGGCAGTGACAGATTTCAGAAAGACAAGGCTTATCAGGGAGGGATGCTAAAAGAAGATTCCTGAACTGAAACAGTCTGGATTAGACAACCTCAATTTAGTGACTCCATTTGATATGTTGCATGCTCCAGTTCCCATCCTAACTTTCTATTTTAATCAGGAAGACTTCTTGAAATCAGAATAGCATCAAAATGTTAAGCTTTGTCTCTGGGGAGTCCTTGATTGGGCGTCTCTTGGAACATGCATCCCTTATGCCTACTCACTCCAGAATCCTTGTGTACCAACAGACAATTCAATGGAACTGGCAGGTCAACATCGTGTGTGTGTGTGTGTGTGTGTGTGTGTGTGTGTGTGTGTGTGT